TTTCAGAAATGCTCTGAGCGTCTTTTACCAGGAATATGGCTGACATGGATTCTCATATAGCTGGTTCCTTGTCATTGCCATCTCAGCTCAAATGTTACCTTTTTAGAGAAGCCCTCCCTGTCTGAGTAATCATTCTTTTTCCCTCCTTCATAACAAAATACAAGATAATAGTCTCATATTTTTTCTCCACCAGCAAAATGTTCCGTGAGGGTAATGACCTTGCCTGTCTTGTTTACCACTGTGTTGTGTGTCTTATCCTGAAACAGGGAGGCAATCAGTAATTATTTGCTTAATGAGTGAATAAACATTTGTTTCTTCTCAAATTGTTACATCTTTTTCTCTAAATGTCAGAGTAATCCTTTAAAATTTTTAGATTCTACTGAACTAAAGTTAAGTTTTCTAAAATAAGTATAGCGAAAGGAGGTCAGTGTAGCTGTAGTGAAGCTAGTCAAGGGAGAGACTAGTAGGAGATGATATCAGAGGAGGGGAGGTCAAGGCCTGTGTCTCATGTGGATTTTGGTTTTCACTCTTAATGATACGGGAGGCCATTAGAGGGTTTTGAATGAGAAGTGACATGATCTGACTTAGCTTCAAGAGTTACTCTAACTTCTGTGAGATCTGTAGGAAACTGTAGGGATACCGAAGATGATCTATTCTGGGCTCTCACATCTGTTCTATTGGCTGAGTTATTTATCTGTGCCAGAACCACCCTGTCTTAATTCCTATCACTCTATTATAATCCTCAACATATTCAGTACGGCATCCTGCCAGATCCTACCCTCAAAGCCTAGTGCTTTTATAACTTTTCTTATCATTCTTACTCTTTTCTTTCTCTTATTCTTTGCTTCTCATACTTGTAATAGGAGGGTGCTGCTTCTACTTGGAACTCTGCCCTTCCATATATATTTTAAAATCAGCCTGTCTTAATTCTTTAGAAAACCTTGTTGGGATTTCATAGATCAATATGGAAAGAATTGATACCTTTATAGTTTTGAATCTTCCTAGCCATAAAATTTGGATAACTTATTTAGGTGTTTTTTAATGTTTTCGAGTAAAGTTACATATATATTTGAAAAGTGAGCTTGAATATCTTTTGTTAAATCTTATGTGTTTTTTATTAATTATCGTAAATGTGTTTTTTGTTTTTATCTTTGTTTGAGGCGAGGTCTGGCATTGTTGTCCAGGCTGGAATGCAATGGCGCAGTCTTGGCTCACTGCAGCCCCTCCTTCCCAGGCTCAAACCATCCTCCCATCTCAGCCTCTGGAGTAGCTGAGACTACAGGCATATGCTCCACATCAGCTAATTTTTGTATTTTTTGTTGAGATGGGATTTTGCCATGTTGCCTAGGCCAGTCTCATCAAATCGCTTCATGAGCTCAAGCAATCTGCTTGCCTCAGCCTCCCAAAGTGCTGGGATTACAGGTGTGAGCCACTGTGTCCCACCCATAAACATGATTTTTAAAAATTGCATTTTCTGTTTCTTACAAATGATCTTTACAAATCCATTTGATAATTGTGTCTTAAGTTTATATTCAGCTACCTTGCCAAATACTACTACTAATAATAATTTGTGAATTCTTTCGAATTTTCTGTAAGGTAATAATATTTGTAAATTCTGTTTTTGTTTCCCTCTTTTCAGTCATACATTTCAGTCATTTATTGTTTCTTATTTTACTAAGCCAGCTGTAACCCATGAGGATGTTTTTGTTTTTTGTTTTTGAGACAGGATCTTGCTGTGTCACCCAGGTTGGAGTGCAGTGGTGCCATCATGGCTCACTGCAGCTTCGACCTCCTGGCCTCAAGCAATCCTCCCACCTTACCCTCTGAGAGTAGCTGGGACTACAGATGTGTACCACCACACCTACCTAATTTTTGTATTTTTTCTAGAGACAGGCTTTCACCATGTTTCCTAGGCTGGTCTTGAATTCCTGAGCATGAGTGATCCATCCACCTCAGCCTCCCGAAGTGCTGGGATTATAGACATGAGCCACTGTGCCTGGCTAGGATGTTTAATACTAATGTTAATAAGTATTAATAACAGAACTCCTTGTCATGTTTTTGTTTGTTTTTTTGGAGACAGGGTCTCACGCTATTGCTGAGGCGAGTGTCCAGTGGCATAGTCATGGCTCACTGCAGCCTTGACCTCCTGGGTTCAAGTGATCCTCCCATCCCAGCTCCCACAACTATGCCCGCCATGCTAGGATTTTTGTTTTTTTGTTTTTTGTTTTTTTTTTTAATTGTAGAGACTGGATCTCCCTACGTTGCTCAGGCTGATCTCTAATTCCTGAGCTCAAGCAGTCCTCCTACCTTGTCTTCCTAAAGTGCCGGGATTATTCACGTGAACCACCACCTCCAGCATATGTTCTTAAATTTTAAAGGAACTATGTCTCCTGTTTCGTATTTAAGAATGATGTTTGGGCCGGACGCGGTGGCTCACACCTGTAATCCCAGCACTTCTGGAGGGCGAGGCAGGCAGATCAACTGAGGTCAGGAGTTAAAGAGCAACCTGACCAACGTGGAGAAACCCCATTTTTATTAAAAATAGAAAACATTAGCTGGGCATGGTGGCACATGCCTGTAATCCCAGCTACTCAAGACACTGAAGTAGGAGAATTGCTTGAACCCGCGAGGTGGAGGTTGTGGTGAGCCGAGATTGTCCCATTGCACTCCAGCCTGGGCAACAAGAGTGAAACTGTTTAAGAAAAAAAAAAAAGAATGATGTTTGTTGTAGGTTTTTGTCAGATGCCCTTATCAGGATATGCATATTTTAAAATCGCCTAATTGTGTATATATTGCTTTTTAGAAAACTTACACCAATTTACATTCCTACCATCATTGTGTGAAAGGGCACTTCTTGACAGTACTTATCCACATCACATGGGGTATTGTTAAAAGTTTCAGATTTTACAGGCAGCGAGGAACTTCTTTACTTGTTTAGATTTATTTCTTCCTTTTAAAACAATATTTTGTGTTGGTACCAATATTATTCTTCTTAGAGATACGATAGGTTTTTTGAAACAAAAGAACTTATTTTGAAAATATTTCAGATTTAGAGAAAAATTGCAAAAACCATGCAAAGAATTTTCTACTTCCTATATCCTTGACCTAGATTTTCCAAGTGTTAACGTTTAATCATGTTTGCTTTATCATTCTTTCTGTCTCTTTTTCTCTTCTCCCATATACAGATGTAATTTTTCTCAGTGGTTTAAGTTGCAAACATGATACCCCTTTAAAAACTTTAGTGCTATTTCTTCAAAATAAGAGCATTGTTTTATATAACCAAAGTACTAATATGCAAATCAGAAAACTGACAACAGTACTATCATCTATGAAATTTGAATTCTATCAGTTGTTCTTTATAGCAAAAAAAGAAAAAAAGCTTTTTCTTGTCCAGGATCTAATCCAGGATCATGCATTATATTTCATTGTCATATCTCTTAATCTTTAATCTGGAGTTGTCACTTCTTGTTATTCAGTTGTTTCATGTCTTTCATGACCTTGACATTTTAAAAGAATATGGGCCAGTTATTTAGTAAAATGTCCCTCAACTTGGGCTTGCCTGTTGCTTCTTGTGGTTAGATTCAGATTTTGCATTTCTGGCAGGAATGAATGCCACAGAAGTGGTGATGTGATGCTTCCTATCAGGGGGCATATAATATTGGTTTTGTCCTCTTATTGATGATGTTAACTTGATCATTTAATTAAGGTGGTGTCTGGCAGGATTCTTCAGTGTAAAATTACTATTTTTCTTCTTGTAATTAATAGGTATCTTGTGGGGAGATACTTTGAGATTAGATAATATCCTGTTTTCCATCAAACATTCAACCACTAGTTTTAGCATATATTGATCATACTTGCTTGAAATAATTATTACCAAGAGTGATTGCCAAATGGCAATTTTCTAATTCCATCACTACATTTATTATTTGGAATTATACTCCCCAAAAGAGCTTTCTCTTCTCCCCCATTTATTTATGTCAGTAAGCACTTAAAAAAAAATTATATGAGTTATAATCTGTTACTGTGCTTGTTTATTTTGTTGCTCGAATATTCCCAATTAGGCCACTGGGAGTCACATCAGTCTGATTCCTGTGTCCTTTTGAGGTACCCCTATCATTCTTTGAGCATTTCCTTTCTTGCTCCACAAAAATATTCCCTAGGCTCCTATTGTATGTCTCCTGCCCTAGCCTTGGAATCAGCCATTTCTTCAAGGAACCATAGTTCCTTTTATTAGAGCACCAGCTGTGTTCATAGCTATAGGGGTATGGTTGCTTCTAGGCCTTCTCAGCAGACGGAGCTAGGGAATATAGGTATGTGAGTGTATATTTACACAAAAATATTTGTATCTTTCTATAGTCCTGTATATTAAAAACTGAGCTTGTATTGTTAACTCCAACTCCAAGCCTTCTCCCTTTTTATATTTGTTACTCCCTTTTATGAGACTAAAAAACCAAGGTCAGTGTATTCACAGAATATTTACCTATTTGCCCAATCTTAGCATACACACAAACAAGTTTCATGTCACTGTATAAAAGCAGGTATCTAAGTAGAGTATAGTATTTGTTTATAATTCTTTTTGTTTTAGCTTTAGGAGAGTAGCTAGTGAAAATGCTGTTTTCAAAAGTTACCTGTGGTTAATTCATTTGCCCTCGTCCCCTAAAGTGTGGTTATATTAATGATTTCAGATACAGAGAGGTTCATTTGTTTGTTTGTATTCATTCCATTTTGGATTCTTCCCTCCTATTACTGTTGGTTTCTTCTTCATTTTAAATGTATAAAACATTAAAATGGATTGAAAACAACTATATAAAAAGGTAGGATAGGTTATTAGAGTACTGTAAATATAAAACTTATGGCTTTTAATTGTGTTTGTTTTTTTCAGGAAATCATTTAATACTTGATGATTAGAACAAATAAGTGAAAGCTCCCACCAACCAGTGAGAATTTCTTCCTTCAGAAGGGTTTTTGTTCTTACTGCACAGCTTTCTGAGAAGTTCTTTTGGTGCCATGTTTTATGGCTTGCATCAAAAGAGGAGTTTGTCTTCATGAAGATTCCTAACATTGGTAATGTGATGAATAAATTTGAGATCCTTGGGGTTGTAGGTGAAGGTAAGTTGAAATTTTTGTGTTCCTTGAGTTTGGAGCAATGAACAGTTAGTTAGTTGTTCCTACCGCCAAAAAGTTACTAATCTTATTCCGTTAATTTAACCTGTATCAATTCACATGTGTGTCTGAGAGTAAAATATTAATAATAAAATTACTCTTAAACAATTTGGGTCTTACTCTCCAATAAAAAATTAATGATATTTTAAAACCCTTTAAAGTTTACTAAATCAAAGATTTTTTTCCCCTTTTCTTTTTAAAAGAGCCCCAGTGTTAAAACAGTCTTGACTGCCTTCATTCATTTTTTTAAACAATCATGAGTTCCATAGTCTACATTTTTTTTTCTTGGTTACATTTTATTTTTATATCAGCTAGGCTTATTTTGAGTAACTTAAATTTCATTTATTTATTTATTTATTTATTTGAGACAGATTCTCACTGTTACCCAGGCTGCAGTACAGTAGCACGATCTCTGCTCACTGCAGCTTCTACCTCCCGGGTTCAAGCGATTCTCCTGCCTCAGCCTCCTGAGATTATAGGCCTGAGCCACCTTTTTTGTATTTTCAGTAGAGGCTGGGTTTCACCATGTTGGCCAGGCTGGTCTTAAACTCCTGACCTCAGGTAAACCGCCTGCCTTGGCCTCCCAATATGCTGGGATTACAAATGTGAGCCACCGTACCCAGCTGAATAACTTAAAATTCATTGGTATATGTTAAATTTTACTTAATACATGGTAAATAAATGAATGAATAGCTTCTGTTTCTTTGAAAAACAGGTTACATTTTGTAAATTCTGAGGCACACAGTTTTATCTCTGAAATCAGGATGTATCTTGTAATCAGTATCATCTCACGGTTTAATTGACAGCACTCTTCCTTTCCTAATAGTACATAAAATAATGCCCACAACCAATGGAATACCATTGATTTGATGAAATATGATGTCATTTTGTGTAAACTGACTCCTAAAAAAAATTGTTTCTTCCTGATTTTTCCTGCTTAGTAATTTTTGCTCTAGACGTAAAGATAACTTTGGAAATTTTGATAAATGATTCTGTTAACAGAGGACAAATGATTATAATTATGGTTTCTTAGCATTTATATCTTTAAAACATATGTTACAAAAATTTCATATTTCAGATTTTTAAAATAAACTTTGAATTCCTAAAGGACTGTAAAAAAGTTTACCTATGTGAACAGAAAGCTGTTATTAAGTTTTTAAGTTGGCAAATCCTTTTCAAATACGTATAAACAATTACATAGTTTAATCATTGGATGCTTGTTTCAAGGTCTGAAGTTCAAATCATGTAAAACAAATAGCTCTTTGTTCCTTACCTAGTCAACTCCTTTTCCATTTCTTCATTGATATTATATAAAAATTCATTCTCAGTGTCTTGCCTACCATCTGTTCTATAATGGCTGCCTTTTTTGTTTATTTTTTTTTCAAAAGTGTTAGCGTTAGAGACTAATGCAATAAAGCTGCTGACTGGAGAAGGCTAGCACATAGAATGTAACAATGTTAGAATGTTCCAGATTCTGGGCCTAAGTTTTTCTAGATCATAACTTGTTTTTCTCAATATAGCCATAGGTGATCATCTTCTTTGGGACTGGCTCAAAATTACCAGGCGCATATGTGTGTGTATGTGTGTGTGTGTGTGTGTGTGTGTGTGTATCTATCTCAGAATATATTACTTTAAATTGTAATCAGAACCACCATTGCTGTATGTTTCTTTCTTTGGAAATCACCTTACTTTTTTTTGGCTAGGATATACATATAAAGTATATAAAACTCTGTCACCGGACATGGTGGCTCATGCCTGTAATCCCAGCACTTTGGGAGGCTGAGGGGGGTGGATCACAAGGTCAAGAGATTGCTGTCATCCTGGCCAACATGGCAAAACCCCATCTTTACTAAAAATTCAAAAATTAGGTGGGCATGGTGGCGTGTGCCTGTAGTCCTAGCTACTCAAGAGGCTGAGGAAGGAAAATTGCTTGAACCTGGGAGGTGGAGGTTGTAGTGAGTCGAAATCGTGCCACTACACTCCACCCTGGCGACAGAATGAGACTCCATCTCAAAAAAAAAAAAAAAAAATCTGTCAAGCAGAGTCTACATTTTTGTAGTTTAGACAGTGTATTTTCCACCCCATAGAAAAACTGGCATAGGCAGTTAGAGAATTGGACAATTTCCTGGCAATTGTGGGGTTAAGTTAGATGGTTATAATGGCTGGTTCTGTGCTACTGTGATAACAAGATTCATCCATCTCTACCAAAGTGAGGGAGACTTGTTCAGGTCCTGTAGACTCTATTGGAGACACATTTCCCAATTTTGTCTCCCTGAAGCCCCCTTCTTGTAGATGAATGCAGGCTTGCCAGTCTGCTAATGTTAATGCTCTTGATGTTTTTGCAAAGCTCAGCTATCATTCATTACATTTTGATTCTCTTAATTAGATTTTTCACACTATATTTTTAACCTCAGTTTCCTGGGTACCTCGCTGTCAACTCTGTTTTACTTCTAAGGAAGAAGTCTATTGCCTCGATAATAGGATAAGTAACCTTTACTTATCGAAATACGCCAAAGAAAATAATACAAAGAAATACATGTAGCCTTTGTGCATGAAGTGAGTCTTTATGGCAAAAGGTAGCAAATCCTACTAGCTATTAATTGGAATACTGAGGCCTCTACCATTTTGCCAGTCAGGAGAGACATTCAGCTGCGTGTGGTGGTGCATGCCTGTAATCCCAGCACTTTGGGAGGCTGAGGTGGGAGGATTGCTTGAGGCTAGGAGTTTGAGACAAGCCTAGGCAACATAGTGAGATAATGTCTCTACAAAAAAACTTAAAAAAAAAAAAAGAGGGGCATTTCATTATCCTAGAGGAAGATTTTAGATTTTATTGTCTCATAGAACAGATAGTGTATTTGGTGAGCTCTGTGCTTGAGCTTACTATTGGGATGTCATTAGCTCTTAAGGTTTTTTTTTTTTTTTTTTTTTTTTTGAGATGGAGTCTTGCTGTGTTGCCCAGGCTGGAGTGCAGTGGCGTGATCTCAGCTGACTGAAACCTCTGCCTCCCGGGTTCAAACAATTCTTCTGTCTCAGTCTCTTAAGTAGCTGAGACTATAGGAGCCCGCCACTATGCCCAGCTAATTTTTGTATTTTTAGTAGAGATGGGGTTTTGCCATGTTGGCCAGGCTGGTCTCGAACTCCTGACCTCAGGTGATCTGTCAGCCTTGGCCTCCAAAAGTCCTGGGATTACAGGCATGAGCTACCATTGCTGGCCTAGCTCTTAAGTTTCAGCTAATTTTTTGAGTTAATTTTCAAAGTTAACACCAAATCTTATCTTCATAAATGTGTAAGCCTTCATTCAAACATATCTCCCATGAAATTTTCTTTAAAAAGAGAAACATTTAAAAATACTTGTTGTAGGAAATGACTTGTCTATACTCTTGATTTATAATAAATGTATAATAAAGTATGTTCCATTTGTATGTGGCTCATTATTGCATTACCACTATAGAATCTCATCACTTTAGGAGTCATTATTACAATACTGAGAAGCAATGTCAATATAGCAGAGCTTTGATTTTTTCAAGACCTATAATTTGTATGCATGCCCTTGATTGTTTATTTCTTTTTATTATAGGAGCCTATGGAGTTGTACTTAAATGCAGACACAAGGCAAGTACATAATTTTTAAAAAGAAATATCTATATATGTTTAACTGTTTTGAAACTAATGCAGTACTCTGTGCATGTGGGCATGTACAGGTGAGCATTCCTTATCTGAAATGCTTGGGGCCAGAAAGGTTTTTTATTTTTTCGGATTTTGGAATTTTTCCATATGTATAGTGAGAAATATTAGGGATGGGACCCAAGGCTAGGCAGGAAATTCATTTATGTTTCATGTATACTTAATACATACAGCCTAAAGGTAATTTTATGCAATATTTTAAATTTTTTCCTAAAACAAAGTTTATGTACTTATATGTGGAATTTCTACTTGTGGCATCATATCAGTACTCAAAGTTTTGGATTTTGGAACATTTTGGATTTTGGAATTAGGGATGATCAACCTGTAATTAAAACTCTGGTTATGATGATGTTCTTTAAAGAAGTAGAATTAATATGTGAATGCAGCCAGAAAGAGACTACTGTTAGATAAGCTTGATCATGGTTGGGTAGTTCTTAGTTCTTAGCAATCATGTGCTATTCTTTTTTTTTTTTTCAGCTGACCTATGCTATACACCTCATAATGACATTTAGGTCAGCAGTGGACAGCATGTACGATAGTCCCATAAGATTATGATATGGTATTTTTTGTTTAGATAAAAAGCATATATGTTCAGATACACAAATATTTATTGAATATGGTACTCAGTAAGGCTATAACATGTAGCCTAGGTATGTATTAGGCTGTATCTTCTAGGTTTGTGTAAGTACACTCTATGATGTTTGTGCAGTGATAAAATCACCTAATGACATTTCTTAGAATGTATTCTTGTCATTAAGTAATGCATGACTGTACAAATGAAAAGCTGCCTAATAAGAAAAGAGAAGAGGTAGTGGGATGGGAAGAAGAAAGCAAGGCAGTGACAGATTTAATTTATGTTCAAGTACTTATGAGCAAAGAGAAGGTTTTTTTTTTTAGTATTTTTCATAGAGACCCATTAACTTAGATTGCTTGATGCATTTGAATCCAGATTTGAAGGATAATAAGGTAGGTGTTTGGATATGAGCTAAGACTTGGGATAATAGTGTGTGATTATGATTATTGGCTATAGTTGATCATCCTTGAACAGCTGTGAAATGAACCTTACTAGAAATTATTTTAGTATGATAATCAGAAATTATTCAGAGAAGTGACTTCAAGTTTCCATAGCTGTTGTTCAATGGTAAGCATGTTTTACTTGGAGGGTAACTTTCAGATGGCAAGTACTGAAACTGTAACAAACATTAGCTTAAATATTTTCTATTATGGCGTACCTAATCTGAGTATTTGGCTTTATTTGCATATAATTTGTTAAGACCAAGGTTTTGTCTGTGATGATTTTAGCAATTTAACCCAAGACATTTGAACTCTTGAATCTGTCATCTATTGAAAATAATATATGTGTGTATGTGTGTAAATATGCACACACGTAAATAAAGATGATACTCTTATTTTTGCTTTTTCTTTCCTATTGTACAAAATACTACCTGCCTTTTGGATTTCAGCCTTCATGATAGTTAATATATTTTTGTGTTTTAAATCACAGATCTCTCACTTTCAGGCAGTGGCTTTTGTATTCTTGAAATTGGGTATTTGAACTATTTTATGTTAATAATAGTTATCTGAAGACTTCTTTGCCATTAAATCTTCAAAAATGGTTTGAATACTATTGGTTCTTGATTGAAGATGATTAAGAATTTAAAATAAAAAATGTACTAAAAATAAATTTAGCACCTTAAACACCTTGTTAAGAAATGTTACTGTGGTTTGAAATTAAACAAATGAAAAGCTCCCTAATAAAATGCTAAATGCTATACTTTTAATGAGTTACCTTTAGTTATAAGTTTCTGAAGCTTAAAAAGAAATTCCTGGGTGGATATTACTTGGTGGAAATAGGTTATTAGTTTCCAAGTTAAATTTGACTCTTTCTTGAACATAAAACCTCCTTTTATACAGTGACTCTGTTTATATAACATTGCAAATGGAAGCTTCAGTTCTTCTAATCTTGGGTTTTCAAACTCAGAGATTTCTGAGATATATACATATCTTACATATGTACATATACACATGCATAAATATGTATTACATATACATGTATCTGGTATCATACAATATGTACAGAATCCAAATGTTTTCTTGTAGTCATCGTCATACTTCAACCTGTAACCTTTTCCTCTATACTTTCATGTGACTTTAAGCTCTCCTTCTGCCTTTTATGTAAAAATTAAGTTATTCAAATATATTGTTTTTATCTATTTCCTGATTTGTTAAAATGGTTGTTTTTGTGTACCTGGTTCTCAAAACACCCACTGTTAGTGCCAGCAGGATGGGCCCAGTGTGAAAGTGGATGAGAATGGACATCTCTGCTCTTAGGAAACCAATTCTAAATGTGAACTCTGATTTTTACACTCCAAGTGTGTAGGGCACTTGGAGTTACAAGGATAAACAAACCATTACTTTTCTTGCCTTCATATGGCTTTATGGTCTGTCTGAAGAGGCAGAAGAATAGATACTTAAAAAAAAAAAAAAAAAAAAAAAAAAGAAAGAAAGAAACCAAGCCTGTGAGGTTGCCGCAAATGAGTTACATCTAAAACGTTTCTCTCTTTGCTGTCCTTCACTACATGAGGTCACACACCAGCTCCTTAAGTGTTGTTGCTTTCTCCTTGCATGTGTCTAAAAAGATATCACTGGATGGAAAATTTAAAGCATAAATTAGTGCCTATCTCAGAGTATTATAAAACTCTTTTTTAGAATCTGCAGCTGTTTAGTCATTAGGCTTGTTATAGATAGTATATCCTTTTCTCAGCTAAAATCAGACCTTCAAATCTATACCCCATTATCCAAAAATAGAGAATTTGATGCTTCTGGTAAGATTGACGTGATGCTTTAGGGTCAAACAAGTGGATTATTATGAAACTCATGTTATAATTAAAAATGTATATATGTATATAATCTTCCTGATTGTACTCATATGTAATCAGGGCAATATATTTTGCATACCTTTAAAAATTTAGTGAAGTGTTTATAAAACTGTATAAGTCAGGTTTGTGTGATTGTTTATGTATAAATTAGTTATCTTTTTGAAAATATTGGCTGTGGGTGTATATATAATTAAATAATTATGTTGTTTATTTGAGCAAGTATGGAAGAAAGTCACTGTTTTAATCTGTGTACTGTTGCACTAATTTAGAGGTCATGCTGATAAATAGGTGTATTTTGTCTTTTGTGCAAACTATGACACTGGGCTAATCCAGACCAAAGACCATACTTCTTAATTTACTGAAATAAATGCTGCTCAATTTAAAAGGAGAAATATAGCTTGTACTGTTTTTTTTTTTTGACAGCTAAACAAAATTACGCTGTATATATTTATTGCATATAGAACAATAAGTTGTTATATATACACATTGACATGCATATGGCAACTCTTAGCAGTGACTAAACTTCTTTTTAGGACTTCTTAGGACTACTCACATTTGAAAGATTTTCTAGGGTGGGCACAGTGGCTCATGCCTGTAATCCCAGCACCTTGGTAGGCTGAGGTGGGCATATCACCTGAGGTCAGGAGTTCAAGACCAGCCTGGCCAACATGGTGAAACCCGTCTCTATTAAAAATACAAAAATTAGCTGGGAGTTGTGGCACATGCCTTTAGTCCCAGCTACTCGGGAAGCTGAGACAGGAGAATCTCTTGAACCCAGGAGGCGGAGGTTGCAATGAGCCAGATCGCACCACTGCACTCCAGCCTGGGTGACAAGAGTGAAACTCCATCTCAAAAGAATAAAAAAAAAAAAAAAAAGATGTTCTGGTTTGGACCTTTACCCTGCAGATATACATAGTTAATTATCTTTTTATTTGCATGTCTGTTTTTTTTTTCTCTCGTGCCTCAGCCTCCAGAGTATCTGGGACTACAGGCATGTGCCACCATGCCCTGCTAATTTTTGTATTTTTGGTAGAGACAGAGTTTCACCATATTGGCTAGGCTGGTCTTGAACTTCTGACCTCAACTAATCTACCCACCTCGGCCTCCCGAAGTGCTGGGATTATAGACATGAACCGCCTCGCCCAGTGTTGCGTGTCTATTTTAAAGTGCCTGTGAGATAGGCATGTTTTATAGCATGCTTTTCCTAGCAAAAACCCAAAGAGGTCATGCTTACAACAAGGCAAGGAGAATTGGATGGGGTTGAAGTAAAGACATTCAGTAAGTACTGGAGGAGTGGACTTGTACAGCTTGATAGACAGGCTGGAGAGGGATGCTCATTGAGCCTAGGACAGAAAGTGCTGATTCATATAATTCATTTCCCATGACTGTGGTTGAGTTATGAGAAGTTTTTGTTTATTTTGAAGTAGTAGGTCACATATACTTTTGAGATACACGTTTGTACAAAGCTGTGAACATCCATCATTGGGGTACAGCCTGTAGGTGTTCAATAAATAATTATCTTATGTTAGAGAACTGAAAATGAAGGATGCAGTAGAGAGCTGTTGCAGAGTAGCAGGGACTTGGTCCTTATGGAGGGATGAAAGATGATCCCAGGGATTTGAATGTGGTAAACTAGAAAAGCTTTGGTATTATTTATCTGACTGGAAAACTTATAAAAGGTATATCAGTTTGGGGGGAGAAATAATGAGTTTGACTTTAAAAATAACGAATAAAATTGGCAGCAGAATATAAAACCTAATATTAACAAATGCTACTTATTGAGCATCTACCATATGCTAGACACTCTGCTAGATGTCTCAATCTCTGTAACAGGGTAACTCTCTTCTTAGCCTCATTTTACAGATGAGGGGACTGAGTCTCAGAGAGGCTCTGTAATAGGGCCAAAATCATGTGGCTGATAAATGGTGGAACTAGACTTTGATCTGACTCTGGAAATAGCTAACTTGAGCATGAGATAGGAGTTGTCGTTCTTTCTTTCTTTTCTTACTCTTTTTTTTTGGCTTGGAGTCTCACTGCACTGCCCAGGTT